GTTAGTAGTAATAAGGAAGAAGTTATTTCAAATGAATGTTAAAAGTGCTTTTCTTAATGGCTTTATTTCTAAAGAAGTTTATGTTGAACAACCTACCGGATTTGAAAATGATAATCTCCCTAATCATGTGTTTAAATTGACTAAAGCTCTCTATGGATTGAAATAAACTATAAGGGCTTGGTATGAGACACTTAGCTCATTTCTTATCAAAAATAATTTTTCTAAAGGCAAGGTTGATACTATATTGTTTATAAAAAAATTTAAAAATAATTTTCTTATTATTTAAATTTATGTTGATGATATTATTTTCGGTTCTACGAATGAAACTCTATGTGAGTCATTTGCTAAAAGTATGACTCTTGAATTTGAAATGAGTTTGATGGGGGAATTAACTTTCTTTTTGGGCTTACAAATCAAGCAACTAAGTAATGATATATTTCTTAGTCAAACAAAATATGCTTTAGATTTGCTAGAAAGGTTTAATATGGATAGCTCAAAGGCTATCAACACTCCTATGAGCACCTCCACTAAGTTAGAAATTGATGAAAGTGGAGAAAGCTTTGATCAAAAAGCTTATAGGGGTATGATAGTAAGTTTACTTTACCTCACCGCAACTAGACGGAATATCATATTTAGTGTAGGTCTTTGTGCTAGGTTTCAATCTAATCCTAAGATATCTCATCTGAAAGCAGTTAAGAGAATTCTTAGATATCTTAAAAGTACCACTAATCTAGGATTATGGTATCCAAAATCTGAAAATTTTAAACAATTGCATATGCTGATGTGGATTTTGTTGGATGTAGATTAGATAGAAAAAACATATCCGGAACATGTCAATTTTTAGGACACACACTTATTTCTTGGTCTTCCAAGAAACAAAATTCGGTTGTATTATCTACAACCGAAGCCGAGGACATTGTAGCTAGTGCATATTGTGCACAAGTTATGTGGATGAAAAACACTTTAGAATATTATAAGATTCATCTCAAAAATATCCCCATAAAATATGATAACACAAGTGCAGTATGTTTAACAAAGAATCATATTCAACACTCTAGAATAAAACATATTGATATTAGGCATCACTTTAGAAGCCGAGTACATTATAGCTAGTGCATGTTGTGCACAAGTTATGTGGATAAAAAACACTTTAGAAGATTATAAGATTCATCTAAAAAATATCCCCATAAAATGTGATAACATAAGTACAATATGTTTAACAAAGAATCACATTCAACACTCTAGAACAAAATATATTGATATTAGGCATCACTTTATATGAGATCATATCACTAATCATGATGTAATCTTAGAGTTTATTGATACGAAATATCAATTAGCTGATATTTTTACAAAACCTTTAAGTGAAGAACAATATGATTTTATTAGAAGAGAGTTAGGAATGTTAATTTGTCCAAATGTATGAATTTGATGTATATCATTTCGGGACTATCTTTTACTTAATGTATTCCTTGAATGGAGCTTTCATGAACCTATTTTGGTTTTATCTTCCTTGGTTTCAAGTTTACTTCATACCCTTGCTCCATCACTTAATGATTTTTAATACATGAAATTAATTGACAAATGCATCTTTCATGGATTTATCTCTTGAATTTTTAATGAGAAATGAATTTGATGTGATGCTCCTCTCGTTATGAAGGTTTATTCATGGAATTTCTTTTATCCTTCATATGATGATTCTTTCACATGAATTCTTTCTTAATAAAGGAAGAATTTTTATGAATTTTTTTTTTGTATGAGATGAACACTTGCAAGAATGAGGATTTGATTTCACATGAATATTTTGATCCTTGTGAAAATTGAAGCATGATTTAATGAAACTCTTTTATCATTTTTAATTTGATTCAAATCATTTTATAAAGTTGGTTCTCAATGGATTTTCCTCCTTACTTTCCTTCTTCATGCGAAGTTTTGATGAAAAATAAAAAGGAAAAAGTTGAAGGAAACTATCTCTTTAATGTTTATAACTTTTAATGTTGAGAACTTATGAATGATATCATGTCATGAATGTTTGAAATATGATTGGTATACAAATTGAAATGTGGTATAAATTTTTACCACACTTGAATTGTTGAATCATTCTCCTTTTTGTTGATGACAAAGGGGGAGAAATAATATCAAAATGTGGTAAATTGATGACAAATATACGTAATATATTTTATCATAGATACTTGAAATGTTTGCTTGATAAATTTTTTTCCTTATGATAAGATATCTAGAGCTTAACTTACTATTTTACAATTGATATCTTACCATAGAATGATGAATTGCTATCTTTGTCATCTTTCATATTTGAAATATCATACTTGAAAATGGATGTCATACCTAGACATCATTTTGAGAATGTTAGATCATGATAGGAATCATGATGTGTGTATTGATAAGTTTAAATAAACTTAACTTATCAATTTATTTCTTGAATTCAAAGGCCTTGAATTCAAGAATGTCTTTTCTCAAGCATGGCATATAGATATGAGGAGTTAAGGTTAACTCCGTCATCAATTGATTGTCGTCATAAAAAAAGGGGAGATTGTTAAATCTCAGATTTTGATGATGAAGTCTATTGTAAGTTGTTTGATCTAATCTATATATTGAGAAAAGTGTGCAAGATTAACTATGATGGCAGTAAGATATAAAGCAGGTGTTGTGCTAGAGTCAAGATCGAGATCTCATTGGGAGTTCGAGAGTTCGACGGAAGTCCGAATGTTCGTTGGAAGTTCTTTGGGAACCAACCAAGAAGTCCAGGAGCTTGCCATAGAAGCTCGTCGAAACTTGCCAAGAAGATTGTCGTAAAGTCCAAGAGCTTAACGGGAGTTTGCCAAAACATTACCGAGAGTTCATCGGATGTTCACCGGAAGTACACCGGAAACTCGCCGGAAGAACAATTGACACATCGGAACAAGATGCGTTGTAAATTATCTTAATTATCATAGTTATAGCGTAAATTAAGTTAGGATTAGGAGGTAATCCCACTAACTTAATTATGGGCCAACTGGGCCCTTTAATAGGGCTAAATTGGGCCGAATTGAGCACCTAATTCAGCCCTTGAATTATTGACCGACGATGGCACCGCTAGGACCGACGGTGGCACCACCTAGAAGACAATGGCCCTAGGATATTTGGGCGATGGTACTGCCCAGACTGGGCAATGGTACCGCTGGTAGCAGTGCTGCCAGTTGTGATACTGCCCTTGTTCGACGGTGGTACTACCTAGAGTCAAATCAACGGCAGTAGTACCACTCAGTAACGGTGGTGGCACTGCTAGTGCTCCGGATTCTAGGGATATGACACTTTTTGACTCCAATTTTGAAGCTATTGGGGCCTATAAAAACCCCACCCTTTTCTGCATGAAATGGCACAAATACATTGAGATAATCTTAAGTTGTTAGGGTGTAAAAGTGTTGTAAACAAGTGCTAGAGTTCTCCTCCTCCCTTTTTAAGTTTTGAGATTATTCAAGAGAGGAGTGAGACTTGTAAGGGTTCTCTCCTAAACCCGTGAAAAGGAAAAAGTGCTGTAAAAGAGGTGATTGGTCTTCACCTATTGAAGGAAGGACTTTAGTGAATGCCGGAGACATCGTCGAAGGAGGAATCCAAAAGTGGATGTAGGTCACGTTAACCGAACCAACTCTAAATCCTGGTTTGCTTTTCAATTTGTGCAAGTTTCATTTCTGCAAGCTACATTATCTTCTTTCTGTCTTCTCTACACTAACGTATGCTTTCAAGTTAAACTCCTTATGAAATGATTTTCGTCGAAGTCGGTCTTAATCGAAACGTAGATTTTTGAAATCACGAAAGTTTTTCGCTGCACTAATTCACCCCCTCCCCCCCCCTTAGTGCCGCTCTTGATCCTAACACGGAGCACCTTGTAGATATTTTTATGAATTTCTAATCTTTGAAGATGCTTTTAATTTATTGAAAAAATTAAAAATTAGAAATATTAGTATTATGAGGGAGCGTTAAGATGATGCTAATGATCTAAATAATCTAAGACTATTTTGGAATAGTTTAATTGATTTGTGTTATCTAACTTAGATATGGTAATGATAAATCCGAATCTGTCCAAACATTATGTGAGACCACGTAGAACCTTTGACAAAACCCACCAATTTGAACCTGCGACTTCTATATGTTGATATATATTCCTTTTAAAAAATATTATT